ACCGAATGGAACCGCGAGAACCCTGGAACAGGTCCCAAAACAAGTATTCAAGTATGGTACTCCAGAACCCAGGCCCCAGAGTAAGTCGACAGAGACCTCTGCGGCCCACGGCGGAGGCTCGTAGCCGTCGGGATCTGACGCGAGGGGCGAGCCCACTTCCTGTCTTCAAGGCCGAAGTATTTAGGGTTCAGGGCTTAGGGTTTAGGGTTTAGGGTTTAGTGTTTAGGGTTTGGGCTTAGAGTTTAGGGTCCTGTCTTCTCTAAGGTTGAACCCATGGGCCCCTAGCTAGGCCCTTAACCCTGGGATCCTTGTACACCTACTACAGACCCTATATGTACCCTTAAGGGTCCCTGGAATTGCCTAAGGGTCCATGTTACGGGCCCATACTTCGAACCCTAGACCTTCAGGGCCGAAGTATTTAGGGTTTAGGGCTCAGGGTTTCGAGTTTCGGGTTTAGGTATATAGTACATTCTACATTACACCATAGGTATATAGTACATTCTACATTACACCATAGGTATATAGTACATTCTATACTACACTATAGTTTTGCCTGTGTTTGCGTGCGGCCGAATATTTAGCAATGACGATACTGTTGCCGGAGGGGGGGACTGGCACGCAGCAAACGGGGAAGCTCCAGGGCTTAGAGAAGACTCCGAAAGCTCTTGAGGAAGAAGCGGGCCTCAACTTGCGTGCAGAAATTTATAGGGTTTCGGACCATATATATATATATATATATGTATTGAATGGGAATATACATATATATATATACACACACATGTATATCGGGTGCGAACAAGGTTTTTGGGCTTTTAGGGCTTTAGGGTCGACTCGATTCCATGGTTACGGTGCTGTTTCTTGGATTTCGAGGACTTTGGGCTGCGGGTAAAGTCGCGACAGGTAACGAGTCTTCTTTTGGGAATCCTTCTAAACCCTAAACCCTGGTAAGAACCGAAGGAGTGATTTGGTTTTGGGTTTAAGGCTTGGGGCTTGCTGGGTCTAGGGTTTAGGGTTTGGGGGGGCGGGGTAAGACTCGTAGGACTGGCTAGGTTTTGCTTTGTCATATGGGTGGTTGTCAAAATCATGGTCCCTTTTTGGGTCCTTATTATAATACGGCACCTACTATTGAGGGTACCCCAANNTAATTTTGACAACTACCCATATAACGATGAGTCCAAGCGATGGGTCTGGCAGTATAGCCACACTCAGATTTCCCATTGTAGTCATCTTCCACACCGTAGCAACAATAACAGTCACAACACCCATTCGCACAGAGTTAACGAGGAAGATACCGTCATACCTGCGCTCCAAACCACGCTAAACCCTACGAAGAGGCAACGCCGAATTTTGAGCCCGCTAGCTGCGACCTGCACAGGCTCCAATGGCGTCCGCGCCTCTGCAGCAACTTAAGAGAGGCCCCTTAATCATGAGAACCGGGTTCAGGAACCCTGAGGGTTATGTTTGGTAATTCTTCAGGCTTCTACATG